GCTCCAAAGAAGAAACGATTATTTCTTCTTCATAGGATTCGGATTATTTCTTCTTGATTATATTATATAGATTATTATTTTGATTAGTAAAATTTCTTAAGATGGGCCAGTTTTAAATTCACCCCATCATAATCTACGATCGAAACTTGACTAAATTTATTGGTTTTTCTGAAATTAACAATGGATATTTGGAGGCCATATTGGAATTTCCGAAAGAGATCCGAAGTTCGGCATTTCGTCAGTCCCGTGAGTGTCGGATTTAGGGTCCTATTACTTCCTCTTCTGTTCGCTCAAATTACAATTGCCGATGTTCTGCAGCAGATCGCGATACCGGTGAATATTTCGTCGACTTCGTTATTAATTTTTTTAATAGTCTTTCTCTCAGAAAATTATTTAATCTTAAATAACTTTCCTTGAAAAAATTTTTTGCTACTAAAAATTATTTCGTCGGAAGCGCCGCTGCATCGGAAGCGCCGCATGTAGGAAAAAAACAACTTTCTTTTCCATAGCGCCGCGGCGCTTCCACCGAAAAATACGGTATATGTTTTAAACTCACTATGCTACTCTGATTCCAGTGCAAAATCGATTTTTTTTTTTAAAAATTTAATTCAATTTTTTTTTTGTTGTATGTTATGGCTTTGTTGCAAGCACTTTAAATCTTTGTAGTGCATCAAATGTACCTTAGGTTTCAAAACACTATTTAAAAACATTCTTTCATTGCGCAAGATGACCACAATATTGGTCTGATTCCCTTGAATAAATGGGTCGAATATTAAAATTATTATAACTATATAATAATATCTTTTTGTGATATAATTTTTTTCTTTGCTATTATTTTTATGTTAGTTACAATTTATATGTGTTTTTAAGCTGGTAGAGCACTCGCTGCTTAATGTTTTATCTCCTATGTTTGACTTTCAGTGATGATTTGTCAATTTGTATAATGCTTTTGGCTCGTATTAACTGCAGTGCTGACCAGTGAAATGGGATAATGGTCTTTATTCCCCTTGTCCTGTATGAGGTTTTTTTCTTCAAGTAGCTCAAATGCAGATTAATTTTATCAAAATGTTCCCACAAGCATGAGTTTTCCTTAATGCTTTATCTAGAAGTTTTTTCTTAATTAGTTTCAGAATTACAAGGCTACAAAGTTGAATATTGATAGCTACAAATCAGTAATAAAGTATCATTTTATTTATTTTTATCTCTTATGTCGTTCAAATTAAACTTTAAAGTTTGACATCAATGATCATCGAAATTTTGTACTTTTTTTCTGGCTAAAGTTAATTTTATTTATTTATTTTCATGTAGGTAAAACATTCAATAGAGATTCTCAACTTTCTCCTTCTGCAGTGAAAGAGTTAGATATGAACATTATGTTGGAGGACATAGAAGATATTTATGAAACAGTAGAAGAAGAAGATGATTCTCATTTACAATCTGAAAAGAAAGAAATAGAAGAGAGTTATAATGATGGAAATGTTTCACTTGTGTCTAGTGATGAATCAAGCCAAAATCAAATTTTTAACTATAATGAGTGGTATGTAGGTTTGTGGGATTGCTTTGGATCTGATGAAGATGAACTAAGCTTTTATCGTGGTGATCTGATTCATATTGTTAGCAAAGAATATGACAATTATGCTTGGTGGATTGGAGAATTACAGGGTAAAGTTGGATTTGTACCCAAGTCATATTTAATGGAAGCAAATGAAGCTTGTTAAATCTATCTATCTATATTTTTAATGTATTTGTATATTGCTTTTTTTTTTTTAAAGTATTGTTGTAATATTTAAAAAGAGGTTAAGTATTTTACTTTGGATCTAATGACAAAGAGCAAAGTTTTTGTGAAGATGATCTGATTCATATTGTTAGCAGAGAATGTGAAAATAAGCTATTTTTACTGTTGTTCAGTAAATTTTAAAATCATTGAGGACAATTTTGTCCCCTAATAGTTTTATCTTTTTCTGAATTTGATCATTTTTTTTCTGTATTAAAATGAGAAATTTAAATGCATGACTAATATAATCATTTGTTTTTTAAAATGTTGTAGCTATTATATTTTCTCAAATGTAATGTATTAAAACTGCCTTGTGTATAACTCAACTGTTTTTGACATTGTTAAGAGTATTATAATTGAAAACTAATTAATTCTCATTGTGCTGTCATACAACTCCAAGCAATTGTTATGTAAAATTATCGATTGTTAAAGAACCAGAAATTTAGATATTTTAAAGATCTTGAGACTCTGAATACAATTTTTAATACTTTTAATCATGAAAAATCAAAGGCCTTCATATAACTCTAAACAACTCTTATGAGAAATGGTCAATTGTTAAAGTAACTGAAATTAGATATTTAAAAGATCTTAAGACTCTGAACACAAGTAATTAATACTTTTAATCCTAAAAAACTAAAGGTTCTAAAAATTTTCCCCTCTAAACCCTCTTCATATAAATTTAGTGATTCCATGACTTTCCTCTTCTCTGATGGTTATAATATGAAATTTGAAGAATTAGTAAAACTTTGTCAACTATTAATATTTATATCTCTTAACATCTTCATTGTAGCCATCAGAATTGAGGTTTGTTATTGTTTTACCAATAGAAATTCATTTATTTTGATAGTTTGCTTTAACGAACTTATGTCTACTTAAAAAAATTTGTCTAACAGTTAGGGAACCGTTGCCATAAACTATCCATTTGACGATGAGTATATATGCATATATATATATAAACAAATGTATATATTGTATATTTCTGAATGCAATCCCATCCATCTATAAGCCAAAGAGTATGTTTTTAATTTGGAAATTTAAAACTCTGATATAAGCCGACGTAAAGAAAAAATGTGCCCCTTTCTTGTGGTAATAATTTCAGAGTAGGTAAAAAAAAAAAGCGTGTATCTTCCGAATTTATATTTCAAAAATTAAAAAACAATAGTATTCTTTTCAAATTGTCCTTTTTATGTGTTTCTTTTTCAATTTTTATATTTAGGCATTTTGATTCCAACTATCTGGAGTTTTTCGAAGTTAGTGGATTCAATTATAAGCTCACACCCAACTTTTTCTTTTCGAAAATTTTCTTAAAATTCTCGTCTTATATTCGGAAGTATGCAGCATATATATGTATGTGTGTATTTGCATTCACTTTACCTTTTTTGAAAACCTCATAAGTCTGCATAAAATTTTTATTAAAAATAGTGCTCTATATTTATTTTTGGGCAAAGAGCAGCATAAACATGAATGCTGGAAAAGCAATAAAATGCATTCCTAAGTATTCAATTAAAAAGAGAAGACAATGGGTGTTTTTATGGACCCTATGCTCTGGCATCTCTGAATACACTTAAAAAAAATAATAGAATACATTGAAATCATTCAATGCTAGATTGTGTTAGATTATGGCTCTGTTTAAAAAAATTTTGTTCCAAAGATGTAAAGGTTCACTAAGTTAATTACCTGCAAGAATTATGTAAAGATATTTAAATTTCTTTTTTGGAATTTAAATGTTTTAAATCTTGAAATGAGCTTTTAAGTTAAAGTATCAAATTTCTTATTGCTATCTGTTTATTGTGGAAAAGATATAAAATATAAACTTTGATGCATATTAAAATAATAAAAACTACCATTTGTTATTTATAGTTTGTTTATTATCTCTGATATTGATATTTAAACATATAGAAAAAAAAATCAGATTCTTCCAAGCATATATTTTAATGATTTTATCTTATCTGAATTTACTAATTTTTTAATAATTCGTAACTTAATATCGATTATTTTATTTATTATTTTTGTGTTTGATATTTCATGATTATTAATGATATACATTTTGATTGATTGCGAACTTAATTTGAATTACTAAACTGCGTAAGTAGTTAAACCAAGGAACTAATTTCTGTCACGTAATTTATATGTTATACTAAAAAATAATATATGCTTAATAATTGTTTTACATTACCAACTTCTTCAACTGACTTCTGATATTGTATTACTGAGTAACCACAAAAATAATAAATTTAAGGATAGCCCTTCAATTTATTATTTTTGTGGTTGATAATAACATTGTCATTTCACAAGTATTGACACTTATTTTTTTTTATTGCATTCAACCTTTTCTAAATCCTTTTAAAAAAGGATTAAAAAGGCTATGTTTTTTTAATGTTTATAAATGGTTAAAGATTCTTATTTTGGGTGGGAGATTTATTTTTATATGCTAATGTTAAGCTTTTTGCCTGCATAAGGAAATAATTGTTAAAATGTGTCAGCATTTGTTGCAATAAATTAGTTAATAATTTATAAAATTATTGCAATAAATTAATGACAAAAATATATTACTATACAATTATTTTATTGTTATTACTTTGTTTTTATAGATTTGTTATGCATGTATTATCATTTTCAACTAGAATGGCAGATTTGAAGTATTTTACAAAATTTTTAACTGTATTATATTTTATAGAATTTTTTTTTTTTTAATACTTGAAAAAAAATCTGAATGCATATCTCATATTTTTTATAATCCTTGTAAATTTTAAAAATGTATTATAGAATAAATAATTTATTTAGCATATCTGAATTCTTTTTATGCATTTAAGCTGTTTATTGTTTTAAATTATTGATCTTTGATTTATTTTATTTTATTTTATTAAGACTTTTTGCCCTTTGAAAGCCTTGTTAGATTGAAAGTAATAAAATGATCAGATTGAAGGTCTAGGGGCAATATAATTATGAAGTACCTCCTTCCAAATATGATATTTTTGCATCAAACTGTTCTGTGGTATTTTTTCAGATAAGCACTTACCTAGTTTCCTATACAAAACCACACAGTACATAGAAACATTTTATTGCTTACATGAAAATTGTAAGATTTCTTTGCTGAACAATTTGAAAAATATATATAACTCCATGCCCTTCAATTTATTAACAAACATAATAGTAAAGCAAATAATAGTGAGATAATGTGTGCATAGTATACTTTTTTGAGGGGTGTGTGAGAAAACCCCAGTAAAATATGATAAAAATTTTTTTAAAGCATTCTGTAGCATACTGTATTTTTATATTGAAGCAATTTTATCAATTATGATTATTATAAGGATACAAAAAATAATTATAATTAATTTTGCAGGTAAATTATGCAAATTTTATTTTTACAACATTTTTATTTTTTTTTAAAAATAAAGGCAATCATTTCATAACTTAACAGTATCATATATGTTTGTCCTACAATCAAAATATTTAATTTCTCATAAGTGTCATTATGATATCAAATGGTAAAAGGTAATATTATTGACCCCAGTATTTCTACAGAACTTTTCAAAATATTCATTTCAAGAAAAACTTCTCACCTATGAAAAATGTGTTGTTTAATGATTTAAACAGGATTCTATTCACTGAAGGATAAATTTTTCTAACATTTATTAATGTGAATCCCAATAATTTATGTGATTTTCTGGAAAATTGTTATTTTTTTTTATAAATATTTCATAAAGAATGTATGAATAAGAAAGGGTTTTCATCATCTTCAACATTTTGAGACAGGGAGCCTTATCAATATATTCCAGAAATTCCAAGGGTCACTTTTCTATTAGATAATATGTCCAAGAAATTCATTAACTAAAGGGAAATAACAATTTTAGTAAGGTTACCAAGTGTTAAATTTTGACTTGTTAGTATTTTGTTAAAGTAATATTGGAATCAATTTATGTTATGAAATTTTTTATTGTCTTAAATAGACAAAATATAATTACATTGAGATACTAAACATATTCAGCCGTAAAAAGATTCCTTACATTACAAAATGGATGAACATCATTTCAGACTTAATGGGAAGTTTGACGTGTTTGCTTAACCAAAGCATCATTGTTAAGTGAAAAATGTGAGGTAACAATTCTCAAAATATCCTCAAAATTCTGATATGTTTAACAATTTGGTGTTTTTTGACTTAATTAATCTGTTAAGTTTTTTATTATGCAAATCTTTATAAAACACTGTTAATAAGCAATGGTCATAAGTTTTACATTACTAGTTATGATCTGAGATATTAATCGTATAACACCTTTTTTTTCTCGTTTCTTAAGAAACTTATTTTGAAACTAATGAAGTTATTTAGTAGGATACTAAAATATCATTAGACCTCTATTTGCCTGTGGACCACAGATTATTTGATAAATAAGGGCTCTGCATTATTATTAACTAAAGCAGAAAACAATGTAAACAATGCTCAAATGAAAATACATAAATTGGCCTTTATTCACGTTCCTTTAGTCTACATAGCTCAAAGTTTTATTCTTTCCTTTCTTGGACCTTTATTATTATCACAATGTCTTTTATTTTTTTGGGTTTTATTTAGGATATGTTTTTATTACATGTTAATCACATTTAAAATATTAAAAAAAAAAAAAAAAATCTTGAAATTTGATATGGTTTGAAATCTGGGAAGAAACATATGTCACAATAAGAGTTCTTTTTGTCTATTAAATGAATGAAAATATCTGCCCTATGAAAGAAATGGGAATTTCTGGCACAGATATTTCAAAAGAAAAATCACTGATTATAGTATAAGTTTATTTGATATAGCAGATTAAAGTTTTGTACTTAGTGACTTTATTATTTTAGTAGTGCATTACAAACGCTCCCTCTTGGGCTAAAAAATCATATTTCCCTTAGAATTACCATTAGCAGCGAGAAACATTGTACATTAGTGATGGGCTAGGTTCAAGATTATTTTTATGAGAACGCAGCTTATGTTTTTATTCAATTTATGTTTCTTTTATTTCTATTATGTAGACCAAAAAGATTTTAATTTTGGAAGAATTACTTGTCCGTAGACAAGCTAGGCTGGCTACTACTGGACCAGCCCACCAGTGGTACATTTTTCTTAAACAATTTGAACTTATTCCTACTGAATCGATTGCAAGTAAAATTTTTAACAATTGAAATTTTGAAGTGAAACATTTCCCCTTAGCATCTCAATATGATGAAGCATGTAAGATATTCTAAAAAACGAATATTAAAAACCATTTCTACAAGCACAACCTTTTTATAATGATGCGAATAATTCAATTTATTTGAAACTTGTTAAAACGTGATATTTTTAATAAAAAATTCATAAATAATTCCGTTTTTAGAAAGTTGTTTCATATATAAACTTTTATCAAATTATTAAAAAAAGAAAATAAATATGTGATATCGGTCATAAAATAATATCAGCTATTGTACAAGCATAAAAAGAAAACATAATTTTCTGATCAAACCATTGCATTTCTGTTGCTGAATTACAATATTTGTGTTCCAAAGAAGTCCAAATACTGATTCACTATAGCATTTCAAATTTTTTTTTTTATGAAAATGGGAATACAAAATTATTATAACTTTTATGTTTTGAGAAAAAAATAAGTGACTCTATTAATTGTTTAATTATAGTTATATATATAGTTTAATTATAGTAAAAAGAAAACATGATTTTCTGATCAAACAATTGCATTTCTGTTGCTGAATTACAATAATTGTGTTTCAAAGAAGTCCATGAAATACTGATTCACTATAGCATTTCAAAATTTTTTAATGAAAATGGGAATACAAAATTATTATAACTTTTATGTTTTGAGAAAAAAATAAGTGACTCTATTAATTGTTTAATTATAGTTATATATTTGCAGTTTTTATGAATTTCACAAGGGAAAAAGTTCCTTTTTATAAAGGAAACCTTTTTTATAAATTATTTTAAAGACTATGTTTTTATAAATACATTTATTAATGATTTAATTTTTAAAATATCATAGTAAAATTGAAAATTATCAGTGAAAACCAATCATATGTTTTTTAAAGATTTAACTTATTCTAAATTAATTTAATGAGCTTAGCATTAAAGAAACGTTATATTCTATTATATTTGTTCAAAAAATTTTAATAAAAATGTTAAATAAAGAGTTGTGAAGCATTTTTAAGGTAACTTTAAAAAAAAAAAGAGAAATACATTTTAATGTGGATTAAACATAACAACCATACAGCGGAAACAAATCATTTTCNCCCATTGACTAAGGTAAACCTGAAAAAGGGTAATTTCTTGGAATTTTGTTGCCACCGGGAAGATAGGACCTTCACTTCCTTCTAATCTAGGGCGAATATCTACGTCACTAACATCTGTTTGTCATCTGAAGTCGTAAACTGAAATTAAAATATTTATATAAATGTAGATACGTGTAGTTTACTGATTTTCTGTCTGTTATATATCTTTGTTAAATAAAAAGTTAATTATGTCTTCCCAAAATCCTAATGCTGGTTATTATGACTGGAACGCGAGTTCTGAAAATCCTGGTGCCTCCGGTGCTGGTTACCGATATGATTTTGGCACTCCAGATTTCGGTACTCAACCACAATTTGGGCAATTTGATTACGATGCTGCCCAGGCCATGAATGTTCCTTCTCCAGCTGCACCACAAGGTCTCTATCCCCCAATAACTTCATATGCTGGGAGTATATTAACCCCAGAGACTGCATCTCCTTTTGATGCCAATTCCCCAGATAATTTCGAAGACGAACCACCATTATTGGAAGAATTGGGAATAAATTTCGATCATATCTACCAAAAAACTGTGGCTGTATTGAATCCATTTAAGGAGCCAAATGCCCAAATTTTGCAAGAAACTGATTTGACAGGCCCTCTAGTGTTTTGTCTTTGCTTTGGTGCATTCTTACTTCTGAGTGGTAAAGTTCATTTTGGCTATATATATGGAATCGGAGTTCTTGGTTGTATGGCTATGTATTCTTTGCTGAACCTGATGAGTGAATCTGGTGTTTCACTTGGGTGTACCATTAGCGTTCTCGGATATTGTCTACTCCCAATGGTTGTCTTATCAGGAATATCAGTGTTGTCTTTGAAAGGGCCTTTATGCACTTTACTTACCGTTATAGCTGTGTCTTGGTGCTCATTATCTGCATCAAAGCTCTTTGTTTCAGCATTGGCAATGGATCACCAGCAGCCATTGGTAGCATATCCTTGTGCTTTACTTTATGGAGTATTTGCCTTGCTTACTATTTTTTGATCTGTTGACATTTTACTCTGTATCATTGTGCAAATGATTGCTTGCTAATGCATATTTAATATACTGTTTTTATTGCTCAGTGGAAAAAAAAAGACTAAAATTGGGACTGACTTATTTTACAGATTTTGTTTTATGTAAGATTTTTTCTTTCTTTATGTATAGTTGTTAATTATTTCAAATAAAATATCACATTGTTAAATGTTTTCAGTATTTTCTGCTATCATTTTTTAATCTCTGTTTACTGTACATTTAAGCTTATTAGGTTGAAGAAAATAAAACTGATTAAGTTTGGGTTTTATTATAAAATTTGCCTTACATCTCAGATTTTTTTCTTTTCTTGTAATTATTAATTTTAGATAAATAAAATATTAAACTCTGTGAATTTTTTTTAACACCTTGCGGACCGATCGCCATGCTTGGCAATGGTTGTAGTTGTTAAAAAATGTTCAATGGTTAACTTATGCAGGGTGCGTAGCATTTTTAAAAGCCCTTAAAGGTGCTGTTTTCATTAGGTGTTTTTAAAAAGTGCTTAATTTTCCATTTTTTAAAGTGAGAATTTTCCTTTACTATGTTGATTTTCGCTTCAAATCATGCAAAAAGTCACAGTTCACATTGTTATATTCAACGTTTCCATAATTAATTCCACCCCAATCTATTTCGGCATATTGTCAGTCCGTAGCGTATGAAAACGCCATACGTTTTACATGATTCAAAATTTCATGATTTTTGACAATTGTCAAAAACAATGCCAAAAGTTTTTTTTGTTATTAACACGATGGTTAAAACAAGATAAAACAGTCAATTGTCAAAAACTTTCCAACCCTGCCTAATTATGATATTTTTGTAAAGAGCTTAAAAATATTTTTCGAGTGCTTATTTTTTCTTCAATTATTTGGCTAAGCACCCTGTTATACTTAGACGTGATTCGTTCGGTCGTCTAAGTGCTGTTGAATACTTTCTTTCCTTAGGAAACCAAGGATTATAGCCGATTGAACCAAAAGCAGACTATTTATACGGAGAGTTAAAAATTTTTTATAAATGAATTAATAGCAGGATTTACTATATTTTGCAATTAAAACTTCTGTTTTACTCTACTATTAGAATTACACTAAATATATATATTTAGGTTGAATGTTATTAGACATTGTGAAGTATCATCATAAAAAAACTTAAGTTATTTTAGTGCTATGGCAACATTGTTAAAATTATTGATTGTAAGAGTTTTGTGATAAATTAAATTTTACCTACGAGGAATCGATTTAAGTAGTCAAGAGTTTTGGTGTCCATGGGTTGAATTATCATGTTAAATGTAAGTGATTATACTCCATTCCAATTTATGAAAAGACCATTGCGGTATAAGATTTAAGTAATCATCCGCAACTACAAATAGTTCCGTTTTATTTTGTTATCAAACTATACAAATATGGTTTCAAAACAATGTAAAAGCTTTAAAAAGTTAAACGCGTCAGACAGAAATTTAATTCGTGCTTTGCCCTCCTAATTTGTCTTTATTTCCTTTGGTAAGGTAGTAGAGTATATTGTAATATAATATCTGGTTGAGTTTGGAAATTATAGGTTAATATTAAGGAAAGGTATGGGGCCATTTATATGTTCAGTATATGAATAACAATTTCTCCACTTTTAAGCTGTTATTCGCATTTAGAAAAATAATAATTTTAAGAAAAGGAATATTTTATTTATATTGATTGCCATGCTGTAAAATAAAAAAAAAAAATTTATTTTTAGGAAATGTAATTTAAAAATATTGACCATTAACGAGGTTCGATTCCCAGACTAGAAATTTGTTGCTTCCTATCACTTAACCCTAGCGGCCACACCAAACCTGGCTATCCAACTTATAACAAGCTTCAAGTACTTTTTCAATTAAACCATATTGTGGACCTCCTAATTTGTCTATAATTATTTCCTTTGGTAAAGTAGTAAGGGTATCCGGTCGAGTTGGAAAATTATTAAAAGGAGATATGAGGTCATTTATATGTGCAGTACATGAGCAACAATTTCTCCATTTTTATGCTATTCTTCGCACTTAGAAAAATAATTTAAAGTAAAGTTTTTATTGTGCTACATTGTGGACCCCCTAATTTGTCTATATTTATTTCCTTAGGTAAATTAGTATAGTATATTACAATAGAATATCTGGTCGAGTACTAAAATTATAGGTTAATATTAAAGGGTGACATGGGGCGATTTATACATTCACTATATGAGCAAGAATTTCTGCATTTTATTGCTATTATTTGCCATTAGAAAAATAATTTTAAGAAAAGAAACATTTTATTTACGTTACAATTTCATAAAATAAATAAACATTTATGTTTAGTAAATATAATTTTTAAATATTGACCTTGACTAGCAATTTGTTGTTTGCTCTCACTTAACCCTAACGGCTACACCACATCTGGTGGTCCAACTTATAATAAGTTTTAATATTGTAGAGTGGTTTAAGAATGTTTTAATAATTACAAGTTCAATTTCTGAAGGCTTGTGTATCTTAGCCTGTGGAAATGAGGGTTATAAAAAGTTATTCTAGAAACAGATTGACAGCTAGTATTTTACTGAAAGTCACAAATGAAGCAGACATTAGTATCTTTTGAAAGTACTTAAAAATATAATTTCAATTTGATGTCTCTTGATTAAAAGATATTTCACTGTTAGAATAAAGTTTAACCTCAACTACTGGATATTATTAAAAATATGAAGATTTTAATTAAAAATATTTTAGTGTTCACACATAAATTTTTTATTAAAATAAAATTGATAGTGGAAATAAAAAAATGTATACGTTTATGTACTAACCATTTTTCTGCTAAATTCTGAAGTTTCAATTATTTTTATATTGTGTCAAGTAATGAAAGGTTGAAGGAAATATTTTTTTTTACCAAATTGCTCAGAGAGCAGATAAGTTTAAACCTAGGCAATTTTATATCTATATTAAACCTATGATTTTTTAACTTAGTAGTATAAACAGGAAATTGTGAGGTTAAAAAACTTATCACTCCACAATTGTGTGTTATTTTTGTTTTCATCCTTATTTTCCTACAAGTTATTAAATTCTTTTACTACATTAAACAAAATATATATATTTTCAAATTTATATTTCATAGAAACAAAATTACTTCAACTGCAATTCAAAATTGCACCTGCTTGTCACATTCAATGTTAAAATGAATGTTTTTTGTCATAATTGGAACTGAGTCGATGTCTTCAGACTCTGATCCCATTATAAATAGGTGAAAATCAAAAAGGCAATTAAGTTATAACCAGTAATTTTATTTTCTTCTATATTATCTGATCTAATAATCGAGTGATTAATAACACATGCACATGTGAATAACATACTCATTTAATATATTTCGAATCAACCTCTACCTGCCTTGGATGTAAAGAACTTTTTATAGTCATTATTCATAATTATAAAGTTTTCTTAACAACTTCCAGATTCAGAAGCTTTTTTTTATTTAACTAATTTTTGGTTTTGGAGGATGTGTATTAAGGATTTTAGATTTACCATATTCTCTGAATAAGTTTCTAGCAGATTTTGCTTCCAAAACTGAAAAAATTTGAGAAAGAACAAAGTTCAGTTTTATTTATCTGAGTTTTAGTGAACAATAGAAAGTTGTTAAATTTACAATCTACTTTTTAGCTTTGCTAGGACTACGCTCATAAAAGCATGTTCTTAATAAAGTAGCCATCTTCATATTTTATATATAATATATATATCACATTACATAAAGAACAGGAGTTTAAAACTGAAAGCAATTTCAAAAACTTTTAAGAAACGTTTTCTGAAATATTTTTATTTATCTGAAATATATTTATCTAGTATATTTAACTTTTAATAGCCTTGCAAAAAATAGTTTTAAGATTTAATTTTTTCTAATTTGCAAGAATCTAGTATTAATATCAGTTATAAAAAAAGATCTCAGATGTATCAAAATTGTATACTTAAAGAGATTCAGATAAAATGTTTCAGTATAATTTCCTTTTTTATCATATAACATAGATATAAAAAAATATAAAATGTACCATACAGAACCCGTTATCCGGAACCCAGAAAACCGGAACGATATTCGAAAAATTTTCTCGCCATTTTTAAAAAAATTTTTTTTTTTCCTCATAAGATTTTATGATTCTTTTCTTCTTTTTTTAAAGATGTTTACCTTACCAACATTTTGGAAATAATCATTAGTGTATTACTTCATCGTTTTTTCTTACTTTTAAGATTATTTCCAATTTTTTTTTTAGTTGTGTTTAACAATAAAAAAAACAGCTTTTTGTAGCGATTCAGAAAACCGGAAAAATCAGTTATCCGGAATAGCGTTGGTCCCGACCGTTCCGGATAATCGGTTCCCTACTGTACTATCTTTTGAGGTGTTAATGTAAAGCAATATGCAGAAATATTTGACTAGCATATAATGCTCAATACATATTAACCGAAAGCTATGCCGTCCAAAAAGTCAAATAAAAACCATAAAACAAGGTACAATATTTAATTGTATGACAAATATATTTTAAGTGCATCATTAAATACAAAGTTTTAAACAATTTATTCAATTAAAACAATTACAATTAATGACAATTTTAATTCATTCCCCAAATGGTAGCTTGTTGCTCATTGCGCCAAAAGTAAAAGAGATAACTTTAGACAGGATCTGTAAAAGAATTGCTAAAAATTATGCGAGTATGCTGATCTATTAGCAAAATAAATTAAAAAAGGTAAAAATCATGATTTATGTGTACAAAGATCAGCCCTAAAAAACAAGCTCAAATCTCCGATTAAAACGTTTTTCTGTGTATAGCACGGGTATTTTCTTCATCATATTCCTTTTTAGATACCCACATCTTTTTAAATGTATCCAAAGATGCTAAGATAGAACCACCAATCCAGGTGGAATACAATCTTTCTTGTGGAGCAGAAATTCTTATTTTTATGTCTTTTGGACCAATTTTCTTAACTTCACTTAATAAACGATCACCAAACCCTTTAAATAAAGTGGAACCACCAGATAACACAATATTTTGGTACAAGACTTTTCTTAGATCTAAATCAGATTTATGGATAGCATCAACTAAAACCTCGTGTAAACCTTCAACTTCTTCTCCTATATGATCCGGTCTGAAAAGGATTTCAGGAGCTCTAAATCTAGCTTGACCGATGTCTAATATACTACCATCTGGAAGAGTATACTGTGCCTTTTCAGTTTCCATGGTTTCTTCTCGCTGTGGATTACTAGCAAGATAACATGCTCTTTCTTTTATAGTTTTGACAATTTCAAATTCAGCAGTGGTTCTGAAATTCCAACCTTCTTTTCTCAACAGTGTACGCAAATGGCGCGTAACATCACGACCAGCTATATCTACCCTCATGATACTGTTGGGCATAGCGAAACCTTCATAAATAGGAACAGCATGAGTTACTCCATCACCGGAATCAAGAACAACGCCAGTAGTACGACCAGTAGCATACAAACTAAGTACTGCCTGCATTGAAATAAACAGAGCAGGGACATTTAAAGTTTCAAAGAATATCTCAGCTGCTTTTTCTCGGTTGCGACGTGGATTCAAAGGAGCTTCAGTTAGTAGAACAGGATGCTCTTCAGGATAAGTTTGTAGCTGCTCTTTAGAATAGATATATTGCCATATTCTTTCCATGTCATTCCAGTCTGTTACTATGCCATGTTCCATAGGGTAACGGATACTAAGTAACCCTCTATGTTCCTCAGCTTTGGGACCTACAAACACATCTCCTTCTAAGGCTCCTGCCATAACCCGAACATGCTTGGGTCGTCCAATATAATTTGGAAAGTGGCACTTTGGAACTTGGTCACCAGCAAAACCTGCTTTGATAACTCCAGAGCCATTGTCAATTACAACTGGCTGATTGATAATCACATCATATGCCTCCATATTTGATTTTGTATATTAGTTAACAGTACTAAATGTCAAACACTATTATTAATGCCACTTAATTTTTGTATTTCTAGCTGTGATTGAGCTATATCCCTCAAAGCTTTACGAATTTGTTCCAAGAGAGCTTCACCTGCAAGAACTACTTTTTCTAGTTTGAGTGCAGCATCTTTATTTTCTTTATCTAATCTTTTAAAATCTTCTTGAGAATCTTGTGAGATGTCTTCACTTGGAAGAAAATCAATTAAAATGTCAATTTCTTTAGCTGTATTAGCAATTAAAGTTGCAAATGTTTGACAGTAATCTTCCTTAGGTTGATCAGATTTTCTAGGCGATTTTTCGAAATCTGGAAAGCTGCTTGGAGGAGCATAAGCTTGTAAGACACCAATACTGTTACAAATGTTTTCGGCTTGAGCGTTTACAGCATCTTGTAATTGTGTAAGACGATCAGCCATCAGATTCCCTTGAAAGAAAAGAAAAGGTGCTGAGTAATGATGCTAAATTTTAACAGAAAATTAATATACATTTGAGTAGTTTATATACAATATCACTAATATGATTTCAGGCCTAAGAAAGCCAAAATATAAATAAAACATATAAAAATTGTTCATTTTTCACTTCTAGCTGTAAGGTATAAGAAAATTGAATATACACTGGTGTACTGTACAAAAATTAAGCCTACTTTTTATACTGGTCATGCATGTATAAGTATGTTTAGGTTTTGGAAACTAGTGTACTAGAAGAGGATTCAAAATGTATTTGTTCGACAGACACTTTCGAAATCGAAAAATTTAATTTCTTTTTCTAAATGACTTATAGTTAATAAACATTATATTAAGAATAAATAATATTTCACAGGACCCCTACATGGTTTTAGGATAGGATTTTAAATTTAATTCTAAACTGCAATGTAAAATATATTTTTATTATTGATACCTCAGTTACTTGAAATCAATAATTAAATTTTATGATGAAGAAGAAAATAGTATATGTAATTTTTAATCACACTAAAACAGATTTTGTTAGTTTTGTACACCGGATGCTTTACTCAGCCTTTTACATAACATTAACTACTTGTACCTAACACAGGGATGGCGAACCAATGGCACGCGACACAATATTTTGAGCACTCCATCGATCACAATTGTTGTTACACTATGAAGCATATGTAACAATTAAATTAAAATTCACAAAAAATAAACAATATTATAAAAAAAAAATTAAAAATTAATGCTAAAAAAACAATTAATAACCATAAAAAACAAGCTAACAATAAATAACTAGCAAAAAAAATAATTAACAGTCCTGCTTAAACTAACATCTTACAACCTAATATAAGTTATTTGCCATCTAATCTGCAACAACAGAAGTCACACTAGTGTTACTTGAAAGTTGAATTACGCATATAACTGAGATATTGAAATTTTCTTTTTTTTTCCAATGTAAATAAAGAGTTTTGAGTTGATAGTATTTAGTATTATTATTTTCCCAATAATCACGAAGTCAAAATTATTTGACGGCACGTCTATGACCTCATTAAGCAATTTTTTCTAGAGAAAATGTCATGTTGGTGTATAAAGGTTCGCCACCCCTGACCTAACATATCTGCCAACTTTCACTCTTTCCGATAACGTATTTTCAGAGTGGTTGTAAAACAATAAACGAAAAACAATCTGACTCAAAAATAAATTTACATTTTGATCCCGTTGAAATTCGCTTGCGCAAGGATTATTATGCTTTCATATATTTATTGTAATTACTTATATGTAGTGGTGGTCAAACTCATTTATAATTATCATTATAATTCAAAAAGTTAATAGGAATAACCTGAGTATTGCTACCACTTTAAATATGAAAATAAAATCTTCCGGAAAATCCGGAAGAGTTGGTAGGTATGATATAAAATAACTTTTATATGTTGGCACATATAAAAGTTATTTATATGTTTGCACAATTTAGTTACAAAAAACATACAAACACAGTTTATGGGAATTCCTACGGTTACTTATTAGTTTATGGTTACTATATGAATTATTTTAACTATTAAGTTATTAAAAAAAAAGCTAATTTTAAATTTTATATGTCTTTAAAAGATTAAAAAATAAACATCATTAACTAGAGCCTCAAGGTAATAATTTAAAATTATTTTAAATAAAGCAAACATTTTAATTTTATATGACATATATAACTACAAAAAATTGTAGTGCATTACATAAATTAACATATATTATTTAGTGATGCTTATTCTATGAGAAATTTACATTATAACTCATATTCAATGAGAAGGTCTTAAGTTTTTACAAACTCATGTACTTAAGTTACAACTTTTATGATCATGAAAGTAATTTTAAGTGTTTATTTGGACATGAATACATTAAAGATTTCAAAAATTTTCTCTCAACTTTTTCCAGTTACTAAAACACATAGATTTGTTTGAAGAAATTTTTTTTACTATTGCATTTTAAGTTGAAGAAAATAATTAGCTTCCTATTTACTTCCTGAGAAGTTATCAGACTAAAAATATCATCAAAATATTCTGAGTGAGCTAGGGTGTCATCACGTAACTTCCGACTAATACTTAGTTAGGCATTAAAAATAATGTGTGCTAAAAAAAAAAAAAAAATCAACTAAAATACTTTACTTGAATATAAAATCTGATAACAGGAATTTGAAATGCAACCTTTAAAAGTTTTGAAAAAATATTGAGACATCGAAATTTAAATCAAAAGAAATGGTAATTAAAATAAATAAATTATAAAAAAACAAACACACATTTTTCTCAGACATGTATATTTTTTTAGGAAATTTGAGTAAAAGTTATTGTTGTATTACTCATTACTAATTACATTTTGCCTTGTTATCTAAGTAATTAATGGGAGGTTTAGTTTGTTTTCCCATTAAAAGTTCATTCATTGTACATGGCTTCATGTTAGAAATAAATAAAAATAAATTATTTCCCAACAATAACAAATGCCTCTTATTTAGAGGAATTTTTCACAAGGATGAAAAGTTGCAAAAGGAATTACTATTATTTTTATGGCTACTATCACAGCCCTTACTTTCTCTTTTAAAAATTTCCATTTTTTTCTTTCTTTTTTTCTAAACAAATTGGGACAGGGAGTCACAAAGCTTTCATTTTTTTTTTTTACTTACTAGGAGATTGCAGGATCAAAAAGGTTAAGAAACATTACTACCCCTTCTACATAGTTATTTTTACCACACAAAATAGAGTAAATACAAAAAAAAAGGAGGAAAAAAATAAAAATTTCACTAAAATTCAATCTTGCATTAGCAATTATGATACATTGCTATACCTTATTTATTGTTATCTGTATTTTGAATTTATTGATATTTAAAATCCCATGAAGTAATCTGTTTCAGTTAATATTTAAAATCGATAATTATTAATTATAATATAGATAATTTAAAGATAGTTTAGAATAGAATATTTTAGAAGTTACTTAAAATTAGTGTAAAACAAATATTCAATAAATATTGAATAGAGTTACAATCAACAATCATAGAGCTTTTAAAATAAAATTCTATTTTAGTTATATTTTATTCAACTCAAGAATTCTTTTTTTCTTGGCTGATATTAATTTATTGACAATTCCTAGATAAATTTAAAAAGAAATATAAATGCAGAAATAATATTTATTCTATTTAATCAATCAATTTTTATACAAGAATATTTTTCACAAAAATAATTACTTACACAAAATTGTAAAATACAAAAATTTTAGTTCCAAGCTTTGAGACATGTTGTTAAATATAACTCTCAGATAGAAAAACGTACTAAATAATAAATGCTAAGCTAGCTTTTTAAAAAGGTCCGAAAAAGCAGTTAAAAATTTACTATGGTAATTAATATAAATACAATATGCTATAAAAATTTTATTCACCAAAGAATAAAAATAAGTTATTTTGAGCATCACTAAAATGTACCTTAATCTTTAAAGAATTATTTCTGTCAGAATGTTAGACATTAAATTTGCTTCGCCGAATCCAATCATATTTAAAAGTAATAATAGTAATAGAAGTAAGCTTTAAAAATAGTTTTATAACTTAACAGTTCCTGTATTATCTATCAATTGAAAGAAGTGATAAATCTTGATCTTTATTACTAATGAATCTTCTTGCATATGGCAATGCAACTATAAATAGCAGTATAATAGCATAATATATTTAAAAGGTTAGTTGCCTGGCAACCAGGATTTGTAACTCCCCAAATATACTAAAATCTTAACTTATACTGGTTTCATCCAGGTTAATTTAGTGTGAGAACTTATCTCATTCAATAGGCCATAAAAAAACTCAAACAATTATTGATGTCAGTGAGACTTAATTGAAGCAATAGGCACAACCAATTTTGTGGAAATGGGTACCTAATTTACGTACGAATACAGGTACAGTGGCAATAGGTTTTACAGCCCTCAAAATGGATGAACACTCTAAATGTTTAGAAATATTTATTTATAAAAAAGAAATTATCTGCTTTTTATTTAAAATCATCTAAAAAAAACCTGACTGATTTTTTTCAAGGAATTTCAACATGGCTCACTGTTGTCACAGGCCCTGGGACAATTGTCCCCTTTCAGTAATTTAACTGATAAGTTGCTCCATTTAGAGCACATCAGTTTGGGTAAATATTTGCTTAGATGTCTTTGTATATTGATGAATGCTAGGCAAGAAAAATCAAGTCAAAATAAACTAATTATATGCTTAGGTCTATTTTTTTCAAAAGTAAGAAAAAATAGACATTTTACCATCACTTTCAAATGATTTAATTCCATGATTTTTGCTTGTAAATTAGTGAAAAAAAGAGCAAATATTGAGACATTCCCTTCCCTTTTTGGGATTATTTTTACCATGTTACGCTTATTACATTTTAAAGACCTATTTAAATGATATGATCAAATAATTTTTCACGTTGAAATTTATGAAATTCTGAGCAGAATACTTAAAAATTATGAACTTTTTTTCAAAAAGAAAATTATTAGAACAAGCAGGATATAATAAACGGTCATGATCACAAAGCATGAAACTCAGATGAGAAACTTTAAGATATAAATATTGATTAGGAAACGCCCTTTCAGAATATTAATTCAACTCATGTACTTCAGTAATAAGAAATTTGATTCATATGTAAGAATTTTATAGTGAATAATAGCTCTGTGGAGTGGATAATACAAATTTATTTACATATGTTCAATGTATGTTAATGTTTGATACGGTGAGTCATGCGGCAGGGTGGCACGTCAAAGTTGAATATCAGAAGACCGAAATAATTTAAAACATTTCGTGTTGGTTTTTCAATTTGATATCATACAAATGTATATTGAATAATAACACTCTAAAAATGTCAAATTTTTACTTACTACCACATCTCGATAATGTGATTTAGTGATTTCACCGTGTAAGATTAATGTTTTTTTTCTAGTATTATGCTAGAGAAAGTTTTATTAGAGAAAACATTTTTTGCAAGCATAATGAAAATGAAATTTGCAAAATAGTTTTCATAGTTTCCTATAGGTAACGCGCTAAATAAAAGGAATACAAAGCTATAAGCTCAATTCCCTGCTCTATATTTTATGCCATCTCTTGACCGTTTGATGAAGCTAAAAAAGAGGTTAAGAGCATGATAATCTGAAATTCGTTTTATCTTTATTTTCTCTGCAAGGATTTTTCAAGTTTAATTTTTGGTTTTAGCTCACTTGATGTTAATTTTTACTAAAAAATCTTTTAATAATTGAATATCAGCAGAATAGTACTATAACTTTCAAAACTTATCAAAATAAAGCAGGACTATTGATGAGTTTTCTTTCGGAAAGTGAGTGATGTAAATATTATGTACAATGTAGGTCTAACCTCGCTACTTGCTTTATATGTTACCTTCTGTGTTTTGTTCTATACTTTCCTAAATTTTCGTTTTATTTTGTATTTTATTGTTTTTTCATGTTTTTTGCTTGAATGTTTTATTTTCGTATGGATTTTTTTTTTGGTACTCCATACAATATTGTATCGATATATTTTGCTTTGGATATATTAATACAATATAAAAAAGCACTCCAATTCACAGATAAAGCTGTGTGATCTGAAGAAGAGATTAAATTTTTTCGTTATTTTTCTAACTAACGTTTTAATGCCCTTTGAAATTTTAAAAATCTTAATTATTTTTTAAAATTATTATTTTTATTCCTTTTCTTTGAAAGATCTTTTAGGAAAGATTGAAAAGAGGCTGTTAAGAAACATATTAAACGGGAAGAGCAATCTGAACAATGGATTTTAAAAATTATTAAGAAGTCATGACATAAAAAAAGTTTAAAACAATATTTTCATTACTTTTAAAACGTAAACAAAAACATCTATTGCAAAAATACATCTCTGAATAATTGTTTTTATGTGATAGTAGAATGAATATAATTTTTTATAAGTGATCTTAGAAAATAACTAAACTATTGAAATTATTTGCCATTAATAAATTTGGAAAACTTAATGCTTTGTTTTATTTGGAAAAATACTTGAAGGCGAGATAGATTAAACACTATACTCTAACTTTTCAACTAATTAGGAAAACTTTACACTTTCTCTACAAGCTGTCTAAAGTAAAGAGCAATTTAAGTGATGTGAGCAAGCAAAGTGATGAAAATTCTAATTGTTTGGAATTATATCAGGAATCTATCCCCTTTTTCTTACAAAGGTTGAGGTGTCTTCTTCAACAAGTTTCTCTCTTATTCTTTTCTCTTTTTTTAAAGAAAAAATACGCTTCTCTGTATGCGAAATGGGAGAATAGAAAGTTAGGCGTTGGAATATTCTGTTTTTCTGATCTCCTGCTGCTTCCTGAATGAGACAGATTTTTGAAAATAAGACAGATTTTTGATTTTGAACTTTCCTGATATTAATTTCCCTTTTCACGTATTTCGCTACCTAAACGAAGTCAGATTTTTAAATATTTATTTCCGAAGAACTATTCAACCGGTAACCTTCAAATTTCGACGTTTAAAATTATGTAAGTTAAATTGTTTTAAGAATAAGTATACTACACAACTCAAAATCTTTTTGATCATTAGCAAATCAAGTAGTAAAGAATTATAAATTGTTATGAAAATAATTGGTTACGTTACATAAATATATATCAATGGATAAGCAATTTTTTTCATTTATTATTAGTTCCAGAAAAAAGGCAAAATAAGCAAAAAGTGATATTATTAAGGGGTCTAACATCAACTTAATTTTCAAGAGGATTAAAAGCTTATTTGGAATTTTCTTCTGTTCTTATGACCTTTTGATAATTAACCTAGTTCGGGTAGAGAGAGGTCTTTAGAATTATGCTTGGGATTTTTATTCTCTTAAAATGAAACATAAAAAAATTTTTTTTGCAAAAAATTGAGTCAAAGTAATATGAAATAGTTTTTATGAAGAAGAAAATTAATAAATTTAATTTCATTCCTAATAATTTGTAAAAGATAAATATTCTTAAGGAGAAAAAGAAATTTGTTCACATTTTTTAGCTTTGCATAAATATGTAAAATATTTACTCGCAATGTAGAGATTATTTGCGTAATATTTATATTAGATTATTAGAGATTATTTTTTTGAGTGTCTGACGTGTGGTGTTTATAATAGTAATTAAAGAAAAAAAAGGAGGTGTTTCTTCATAAAAAATAATACCTAAAATAATTTTTTTGACAGAAATAATCTGTTATGTCCATATAAATGAGGAATGAAAATTCCCCTATTATCTCTGTACGGTTTCCTCTTTGTTTAAGGGAAATGGGGGTTATTTGATTTAGAAAACTGAATTTCTTCGAGACAGACTAGTAAAGCATTGTTTCTTCAAGTGTATCTTTTTACGCTGAATAGAATGAGACCATATCGTGAAAATTGGATTCAAAATTTAGAATTTATAAGGGCTTTATGTTGAAAAATTCAATTTGATACTAGTATCTATTTATGCATTTGAAATTGCTATTTAAAAAATTGATGCATTGTTTTCTATATAATTTTTTTCGTTTAATCGAATGAGACTTCTTAAAAATCAGTTGAACTATCTGTTGAAAGTTGTGTTTTCACGTATAAGAAGTACTACTTTTGACGTGTTCTTATGCAAATTTTTTAATTTGATATATTAGGATATTGGATATTGGAATAAGGATATAAGGATATTGGATGTTGTGTCCAAAGATATGAAGTACATTTTTCATTGCAATTTTTCATCCTGAATTGAACGAGATGAAATTCGATTCAAAAGCAGAAGTAGTTTTAAAGTTATAAGGAGTTTCTTTATAATAAGTACAATTGAAAAATATTTGTTTATAAAAAAATATTGCAATTTTAAATTAATTTCCCATTTACTTGTATTTTTTTCACATGATTAAGCGTGAAAATACATTAAAAACAATTCTTCACTTTTCTGTACAGCAATGTAAGTTGTATAAATGAATGCAAGTGCAAAATTGCTCTTTTTGTACGTAAAATCTTATTTTCTATCTCCCTAATTTTGCAAAAAGAAGGGGGAAGCGTTTGGAAGAGAAATATGGGAGTTTTCATTATCATTTATAAAGATGTAACAAAGATTTCTATGAAAAAAAATATTGGGTATTAATTTTTCCGAAGAAAAAATCTAATTTCACGCACTAGCAGGGGTGATAATATTTTGATATTGATTTAAATACCTTATATCGTCTTTTGCTTTTCGCATAACTCTTGGATGATAAAAGTTATGTATTTAAATGTAAATGTGGCTGAATCATAACACAGTCGTATCATTCAGTTGTCCGTTTTTACGAGTAAAAATGTGATTTGTATGCGAGTATGACTAATTTGGATTTCTTATTATGGCAGTTAGAAAAGAGCCGAATTAAAATTTTATTTTGGCAACAAGTAAGTATGATAACAAGAAACAAGTAAGTATTAGAATTATATAGCTAAATCTTAAAGTGAATAAGCAAATAATGAAACCAATGAATTAAGGAAACAGAAGATCAAATAATGAGCTAGTGGATGACTCAGCAAATTGATAAATGGAAAGTAACTATTTAACAAATCAGTGAATAAACAGATCAGTGAACCAATGAATAAGTGAATGGATGAATCAGTTAATAAATTAATAAACGAATCAGTGAATCGAAATTTTTTTTTATCTTTAAATCACTGAATCGATAAGGGAATGAATGAAATTATCAACATAAATAAGCGAATCAGGGCGTTAGAATTAACGAAAAACAGATCAATGAATTCGCTAATGACAACATCAATAATTCAAAAAATCAGTAAATAAACGAGTAGATGAATACTTAAGAGCACCAAGGAATGAGAGACTTAGCGAATCTGTGAATAAAGGAATCTATGAATCAATAGTGAGGGAGTTAAAAGATCAAAGAAAAATGAAACTATAAACAAATGAATCTGTGTATTAATGATTAGGCATAACAATGAGCTTGGAAATCAAATAATCAATAAAAGAGTGAATCAGCTGTCACTATCTACGAATCAATAAATGAGTTTAACAAAAAAGCAGTAAATCGCATCTTCGATTCTTTGACTTACTGATTAATTTATTCATTAATTTACTGCCTCAGTAATTTTTTTATCTGCAGTTTCGAAAATTAATTGACATTCTGACTCATTGTGACTTTGATTCATAATTCAGTGATTCCTATTTCTTGAATCACTGGTCTGCTACTTCATTTATCCGCTTATTCATTGACTCAATGATTTTTAGATGATTTGTTTATTCGTTAATCTACTAACTTATTTATTTGCTAACATATGAATATGTTAGAAGAAGCTCTTCCAGTTATCGAAATATAATTTCAAGCAAAAGAGATTCCTTCACATTTGAAAATATCAAAAATAAATGACTTTGATTCATAATTCAGTGATTCCTATCTCTTGAATCACTGGTCAGATTCTTCATTGTCAGATCACTGGTCATTTATCTGTTTATTCATTGACTCAATGACTTTTAGTTGATTTGTTTATTCGTTAATCAACTAACTTATTTATTTGCTAACATATGAATATGTTAGAGGAAGTTCTTCCAAATATCGAAATATAATTTCAAGCAAAAGAGATTCTTTCACATTTGAAAATATCAAAAAGTAATAAAAAAAAAAAACAATTCAGAAAAACAATTCCGTTTTCCAGTAATTTCTTTAGGTATTTTTCCTCTATATTAATGACATTTTTTAATGCTTCGACGAGCATTTTTTGCTATTTTTAAGAAAATTTTTAGGAAATTTTTAGGTAATCATAATCAGGGATTTTATTTATGACTTAGATACGATTTCTTGATCTGAATGCAATTAATTTTTTAATTCAATTAATTAATTTTCTGTTTTGATATTAACTTTTGCTATGTATAGTTTCAACTAACCAGAATTAGGCATCAACAAACAGATGTCTTCCTGAGGCTAGTGCAGACACATGGTGTGCTGAGGGGTAAGTGCGAACATGCCATTGGAAGAAATATGAGTTTGTTACAAATTTTGTAAAATGATATACATTTACAAATAGTAGTTTCAATCTCAAGTA